ATGTGTTATCTTTGTTATTTAATGCTAGTCTCTTCATCGTGGTTATTTCTATTACTCATCATATATCTTCTTAGATTCTTTGCATCTCAGCAAGATGATATCTCCGTAAGCATACGCCGTTTTTGTTCTTCTCTTTATCGAACAGACCATAAAAAATTTGAGGAATTCTTCAGGATAGTGTCCTAACCTATCAAAGTTGACCAAATAGATAGTAGGGAACCCTTCATATAATACTCCTGACTTTGTACTTAGAATTTCCAAGCATTTCTGATCGAAAAAGCTTATATCGTTTAAATAGCGCTAATGCTATGAAACATTGAAGTGGGACCTTTCGTAGCTCTTTTTCACCGGTAAAGGTGCAATAATTTCATCATTTATGATGAAGGAAATATTGAAGCAGGAGAAAAGTTGATGTGGATGTCAATTCTTTCCTCTTGGTGTAGTCATAATACTAGCTATGGGCCGGCTATTAATGAAATCCATCAAAAAACAGTGACCGTGATAAGCATGCAGCTTTTGCGCATGGGATACGAGGAAATGGATGCAACGCCGCGAAGTGCCTTTTCGTTAAGAACCTCTGAGAATTCTGCTTAAGAAAGGATGTGAAAATCTTTTATTTTTGGAGTGAACGCTATATTTCATCCTGTGTGAAGTCATTTTCCCTTACCCTTCTCCTGAAGGAGATTTCCCGATTAACATTCGTTCTAAGCTTTAGACCGCGAAGGTGTGTCACAGCCAAAACTGTGTTGGCGTTTTCTTCAGAAGCGATTATGGACTACTCTTATTCAAAAACTTATGAGATTATGTCAACTGCGAAAATGGAAAAAAAAGAACTACCTTTTTGCCATAGTATGATTATGCTGAAAATTTGTAGGTGCCCTCAGGTCTTAAGACTTGAAATCAACGCTAAAGCCACTCATGGCTTTATATCGTAAGCCTGTCTTAGAGCTATAAGTTACAAGTTTAAGTGCAAATCTGAGTTAAGATTTTGGAACACTTGACATTAAGATTTGCTCCCTTTGAGAAACATTATGCCATCGTGCTTCAAAATTTTTGAGGTACTTCAGGTTGTTCGACTCGTAGTGGGAAAACTCCTTTTTTGGAAAAAAAGTAAGACGATAATCTAGCACAGTTGGCAAGCTTTTTGCCATTAATCGAACAATACCACTTTTATTTTTGCCATCTACTTCCAGATTCGCTTCGGCTTTCCCTCTCATCCCTACTAATTTGTTATGCCTCGTATTTCCTAATTCACGGGAATTCGGCTGTACTATAAAACCCCCGTAAGCCTTGATTTTTTTCTTCAGCGAGAAAATATATTAGGTTAAAAGGCTCCATATGTCTATAGCTGGCGTCAAACTTTCGTTCTCCTTGTGTGATTGCGTGACATCTCCAGGATTGCCGTAGAACGCGCAAGCCATCGATAGCGCAGGCAAATAAGTGAGCGTTTTTCGTTTGTTTCTCATCTTTTACCAGATAAGTGATTCGCGTTTGGATAACATAACGCGGTCGGTCAACGAAAACATATGTTCTTCAACGCGTTCTTTGGGAGGTATTCTAATCTATAGAATTCTTTGATATGTCTTTCGATTTACTGCAAATGTATCCGTCTTTGGTAATTTTGAGTGAGTAAAGTAATACTGGAATGGATTAGCTTGTATGACAATCTAAGTGGCTTCGGCATGACCCTACCTCACCTCTCCAAGTTCCGTATGCATGAACATTCCCACCGAGGAGGGTAACGATATTTTAGCGGGTCCTCTTCCAGCCCCTCATTTCGAACTTTATTGTGCATAAAGGAACGGAATGCCTTTCCTCTGTATATGAAAGGGGATTCGCTACAGCCTCGTCATATTTTTTGCAATGATCTATATCTGAATTAGTCTTGTGGTGTTCTATTAGATTCGCTACAAAATTACTCTACTAACCCTTCACCGAACACTCATGCTCTTTGCAAAGCGTTCAGTTCTGTCTCCTATCGTATTTTTGTACCATATTTCTCATAATTGGAAGGAGAGCTAATTGGACTTGAGTGCAAGGCAACCTCCCATTTTACCAGTTCCACTTTCCTATAAGTTGGGTACCTCAAAACTGATGGTTAAGATACTTTTCATAATAAATATTCTTTACAGTTTTCAAAGTTTCTCTCATCTTGTCGTCGATATGATCAGGGTGCGCTCTGGAAATCCATTGTAAAGAAATTCTTTCGCTATCACTCAGTCAGTATTTATTTGTGTTAAACTAAGAAATAAGGGAACATAATATCTTAGGCATTATATTCTTAAAGGAAAAGGGAGGATATCGTTCCGAAATTGGAAACAAAATTGCAGATTCTTAGCAATTTTGCTATAACAAGATTTCATATCATGAAAATGAGAATTGCTATGAGTAGATTTTTCTTCTATGATAATTCCGTAATAGTACCAATCTCGTATAAGCAGATACTTATCATATGCTACCTTATTTGTATTATCTGACATGTAGTAAGAAGGCGAAAGCCACCTATAAGCTTCCTAAGATCGAACGTTGAAACACTGAGGAAAATTCAAACGTCGTCGATTTTATAGGAACCTAAAGCCAACCAGAAAACATATAGAAAGTGGATAGTAAATTATTTTTGGAAGAAGCTGAATAGAAAAGATTTATTTTCAATGGCTATTAGAAACTGGTAATTGGAAATACTGAAATGTGAAACTATAATCGCAAGCTTGTACTCAGCGCATCTCCTGAGAGGCCGGAGGGATGTCGCTGCTCTCCTTTTGGGCTTCAAGCAAGGATGGAGAGAAGCAAGTCTGAGGTTCATTCTGACAGCTAAGACCATTGTAGAATTAGTGAAATAGTTCTCTAAGCATGCTATTGGGTATCATAATCCTTTATCGTCGGTAGTAGAGATAGATCGTAGAGTATGTACTATGGAGGTACTGTGAACACCGAGTTACGGGTCTATCGCGAGTACCGCAAATCAAAACAAGTTTTGAATGCACCCGATTTTGTAGCGCAATACCACAAAAGAAAGGTAAAAAGGAATTTGCCTTCTTTCCCATCCCTCCCCTTGCTGAGGTAGCTTCCCTGAGGAATCAGCTCCTGTCTCCTCTTATCGGGGAGAATACGATTCTTAGGATCTAGGAAGTGAGGAGCAATAGGAAGATATGACTCAAAATGTATATTGTAGATTTTAACT